TGACCTATGTGATATGGACATCAACTGTTGACACAAATGAGTCGTATACCACCCAACTCAATTGTGAGTTGCTGTGAGTTGTGAGCTTGTGTTTCTTCTTTAGTATTTGATATCACAGGCGTCATTTGGCTTCCCACCCGAGCGAAGTGCATTTAACCGGCCACCTGGGCGTGTATTAAGCTACGTAATCGTTAGACCATGAATAGGCTATGCGTCGATTACAAATCTGAGACTTTCCACCATGCTAACTTATGGACACCTGAAGGCATTGTCAGTCACAACTAAGTAAGGAGGATGAAATAGACGAAATCGTCTTCCTCAGCGCGCAAAAAAACCACATCCCACATGCACACGCACACGCACACGCACACGCACACGCACACGCACACGCACAGCACACGCACACGCGCGCAACACACACACGCACGACACACGCACACGACGATGCACGCACGCACGCAAACACGCATGCACGACACACGCATGCACGCACACACGCATGCACGCACGCACGCACGCATGCACGCATGCACGCACGCACGCAAACACACTCCGTCTCCCCTGCCGTTTCTGTTCTCTTCATAGAACGTTCAGCTTTCACTAGTCTACTGCGTGAAACCAAACAGGAGAGACGAAACGTTGCGAGAGCTAGACCATCCACGCACATTTTTTACCCTTTTACCCAACTCTTCACATGGCTCAGTATGGGGTCGATCGGGAGCGAACACATGATCCCAAGAACGGGCGGTCCAGACGCGCAACTTGTTTGCGGCGGAGGTGCACAACAAAATGTTTTCATTAAACACTTATGTTAGCGCAACGCACGCATACAACATTTGTCTCATGGTATAAAAACATCAACGCGCGTACGCGATTTACTTATATTTATGTGTCTGTATCAAGTTGTCTAGTGTTAGCATGTAGTAACGAAGATATTGATGTAATGAATAGTATAAGGTAGGGGCAAGCGCCGCCGGGGCCAGCGAGCGCGTAAGTCCCTATTGCTGATGTTGATGCAAAAACGGAGCCCCAGACTCGCTAACCCGAGTTTCTTGCCGTTTGCTATCACAACAAACGCCACCATTTTTGGGCGTTTTATCAAATACCTGAATCGATATGTCTTCGATTTTCTGATCTTGAGGTGGCACAGTGAACGCGACCACACCTTTGCTGTCAGACGTGACGTTCAGACAGACCGGATCGGCAGAAGACCTGCAAAAGTACAGTCGTGCAGAGTTAGAGAGCATCACTTCCCGAGTTACTGGGAACTTCCCAGTCATTGGGGACTACACTCGTTTAACATGCGTCCGGGTGGCCAATGACAGCGACGCGCTTCGGGTCGGGGAAGGTGTCAAGATAACCCTTGACATCTCCAAGAGCAAGTAATCTATGGATACTAAATATACAGTAGGGATGGGTAGACCAATATGTGACTCACTCGTGTTGGGTTTTAGGGTCGTAACTTTTGAGTCAGAGAGCTCAAATAAATTTAAGCACCAGCTCGGCGTCAAAAGGGCCCACAGACATTCTCATGAAACTACCTTTAACCTAGATTCATTTCTTAAGCAAAGGTGCCTGGTGTTAATTTCAGGTCAGTAACTTTATTTGACCTTCAGAAAGTCACGGTAACCAACTACAAAGTTGTGAGTCTTGAAGGTTACAAAGCAGCAAGTATAACGCCGAAAGGCGTGCTATTAACAACAGTAGGTCGATGGGGACCATTTTAGGCCAGTGATATCTGTTCTTTATAAAGTCCAAATAAGAGGCTTGCTGGTGTTTCTGTGAGCAAGAAATTCAAAATAAGCGTGAAAAACACATTGACTAAAAAGCAAGCCCTCAAGTTCGGCTCAAAAGCTCCGTAGACAGCTGTACATCATTCAAACCTGACACATGGTCATTGAAATTTGTCAAGATCTTAAATAATATTTCTAATTGTCCAATAAACCCTCTCAAGGATGTATGGATTTCGTTAACAGTCTGTAATCGCATACATACATAGTTGATAACAATTCACTAGGAGTTGCCTTCACTGACACAAATGGCTTGAATTTAAACTGTCAGAGGTCAACGACCTTACATGATACATTAATTCCATTATCACAAACTGTCGGCTATTGAATTGTCCCACAGCTAGACGCAGTAAAGCAAATCTACGAAGCGCGGTTTGGAGGTCATTCTGGAAAAAAATCTTCGGGGGAGGAGTTAGATTATCCCCACCCAAGCGCGTGTTTAAGTATGTTGTCTATAATCTGTATATCGGAATATGCCTATGACCAGGACTGCCGGTCAGCTCAAATTTCACAAAGATCGGGGTAACCAGTTTACTTTCTTATGTCTGCCATTTACATAGATAACTATTATTTCAGCGACGGCCAGGTTTTAAGCTAGCTACGATCCTGGCTTTGCGTCAGCCCATTGTCACATGCCAAGTTCTTCTTGGGACGTCGAAGCTCGGTTATTTCAGCACAAGAACTCATAATGTTAAAGCACCAGTGCATTTCTGCTGGTCAATCTCATAAAATTGGGTGAGAACAAAGACCGAAGACACTCACTTCATGGCGAATCCGAGGTCTGTCGTCGTCCGGTGGGTCTCAAAACACAGCCGAACCAGCTCACCGGGAGCTGGTGTGTTGTCCGGGTGGCGCACCGTGATCTGAATGTGGCGGCGGACGCAGCTGAGTTAAAGACGGAGCCAAGCACCTCCAGCTACACTCGACACAGCTGAGTTAAGGACGGAGCCAAGCACCTCCAGCTACACTTGACACAGCTGAGTTAAAGACGGAGCCAAGCACCTCCAGCTACACTCGACACAGCTGAGTTAAAGACGGAGCCAAGCACCTCCAGCTACACTCGACACGGCTGAGTTAAAGACGGAGCCAAGCACCTCCAGCTACACTCGACACAGCTGAGTTAAAGACGGAGCCAAGCACCCTCCAGCTACACTTGACACAGTTGAGTCAAAGACGGAGCCAAGCACCTCCAGCTACACTCGACACAGCTGAGTTAAGGACGGAGCCAAGCACCTCCAGCCACACTCGACACAGCTGAGTTAAAGACGGAGCCAAGCATCTCCAGCTACACTCGACACAGCTGAGTTAAAGACGGAGCCAAGCACCTCCAGCTACACTCGACACAGCTGAGTTAAGGACGGAGCCAAGCACCTCCAGCTACACTCGACACAGCTGAGTTAAAGACGGAGCCAAGCAGCTCCAGCTACACTCGACACAGCTGAGTTAAAGACGGAGCCAAGCACCTCAGGCTACACTTGACACAGCTGAGTTAAAGACGGAGCCAAGCACCTCCAGCTACACTTGACACAGCTGAGTTAAAGACGGAGCCAAGCAGCTCCAGCTACACTCAACACAGCTGAGTTAAAGACGGAGCCAAGCACCTCCAGCTACACTCGTCACAGCTGAGTTAAAGATGGAGCTACTCACCTCCAGCTACACTCGACACAGCTGAGTTAAAGACGGAGCCAAGCACCTCCAGCTACACTCGACACAGCTGAGTTAGAGATGGAGCTAAGCACCTCCAGCTACACTTGATGCAGCGATGTTGGAGAAGGAGCCAAGCATCTCTAGCTACACTTGACACAGCCGAGTTAGAAACGGAGTCAAGCACCTCTAGCTACAGTTGACACAGCTGCGTTAGTGACGAAGCCAGGCGCCTTTAGCTACACTTGACGCATCTAACTTAGAAACGAGGCCATGCATCTCTAGCTACACTCGTTACAGCTGAGTTAGAGACGGAGCCAAGCGCCTCCAGCTACACTCGACACAGTTGAGTTAAAGACGGAGCCAAGCACCTCCAGCTACACTTGACACAGCTATATTAGGGAACGGGCCAAGCACCTTCAGCTACACTTGACACAGCGGAGTAAGAAACGGAGCCAAGTATCTCTAGCTACACTTGACACAACGGAGTTAGAAATAGAGCCAGGCACATCCAGCTACACTTGACGCAGCCACTCGGCAGCAGAGCACCAGGACACACATACTTGGTGTACCGACAGACAAGCTCTGTTATCTTTGGGTGGTGCAGCACGCTTAGTAGGATTCCTCCAGGCTGGTGCATCCGTGCGCATGAGAGTTTGGCTGCTGCGGTGTTTAGCGTACGTTGATCTACACAATCCCCAGGAGGGGAGGAGCTGACCCAGCGTAAAGTCGCCAGATCCCATGTTGGCCACTGGAATACTTGTGATTAGCAGGAGACCCAACGTGCTTCACGTCAGCATTGATACACTTGCGGTATCTGATCACCATGCCGTGTCCGAATGTAATGCAGGCTTCAGGGGTCGCCACCTCACAACCAGATAAAAGCACCAAAAGTGCAATTCTGCAAGTAGTCCCATGGTACTCTATCAGGCATTTGCACGTTACGAGCACGTTGCGTTTGAAAACAGAGGGGATATTAGGAGAAAGGTAAAGAAAAAAAAAGAATTTAAAATAAAAGTGTTATTTCTGACTAACCATTTTTTATCATGCTCATTCCAAATTCCGAAGAAGCTGGCCTTCAAAAGAATTTGCTCTCATCTCACCGACAACGAAATCCTTTCTAAGAAACTACGCGGGCCCACAAACACGCACCCTAAATTCAGGTGTTATATCTCACGCACCAACGTCAATGAGCGTTGAACGGGAAAGAGACTGTAACGCTTGTGTAATTGATCATCTCCAATCCTTATTTATCAACATCCAGCATGCTTGTCTTGCGAAACACAAAACTAAATGCGTCACCACCTACATTTGCATGGCTCGTCTCAGCTAGAAGCTTAGCGACCGGGACCAATTGTTCGCGTCGGCGCAAGTCCTTCAGAGTCAAATCTATCTCTGCTCGCTGCCTTCAGGCAAAATACAGAAATGCCATTTTCCACGCGGATGATGCCTCTTTGCATTTCTCCCAAACACAAATCAGCGAGAATCCACACTTCCTTTACGCCACGACCCCGATGCCTTCCAACAAATTGGCGCTTAGCCCGTTTGGCACGTACCTGATCGGTGAAGGGAAGTCCTGGCTTGAAATATTTGCTTCTCTGGTTTTCAGTGTCCAACTTCAGCTCTTGGTACTCAACGGTGAACGTTTTGGTGCTGTTAATCGTGACGTCAGTGCCGTCCTCTGTTACTTCGGCGGTGACCTTGAAACTGCGGGTTTTGGATCCGAAGCCGAGGTCTCTGCTACTGATATGGAACACGGGACAGTCGTCCTCGGAAATCTGCCGAATTGTGTACTGTGTTCAGACGGAGCCGCACCAGTCGGCGGCCGTTTGGGGGACGTTTCCGCCTGCGTCACGGTTTCGACAGGTGACAAACGAAGATTGTATGGCAGTGCAGGTATGCAGTGCATATTGTGGCATCCATGCATATCCTCCGGCATTACAACAGAAACAAATAAGAAGTACCACGTTATGAATTCATTTAGCGGCGTAAGGTACCAGCCGTTTCGAAAAAAATGGATTGCTAACGTTGAAAAACACTGCTAACGGTTAAAAGCACTGATTGCTGAAGTTGAAGAACACTGATCGCCAACGTTGAAAAAGCTCATTGGTTACGTGCTTGTCAGTGAAAATGGGATTTTTTCAAACACATGATCAGCATGTCCTGCCTAAAAATGATGGAAAGATGGCATTTCTGAACTTCCTGAACAGTCTGAGGCACGGGTATCCATTTGTATTATTTTCGGTGCGCTACTGCCCCTCGCTGTCCGATCTCCCCCCCCCCCCCCCCCCCCTTTCCAGGTGAGTTTGCCCCGTCCCACCTTCTGGAGCCAAAGCACTGGCAGGGCATTGCAAATACGGAATCCAAATTACCTGTATTTTAGTAGAAGCTAACTGTTTTACATGCAAAAAGAGCAAGGAAAATGTCTGGCTGCAGAAAGTTACGTTCTTTTGTCGATACGATGCCATGTGTTACTGGAAATTACAACACACCGGTCAAACGTTGGCACAGAAAATTGTGAGCAAATGTTTAGCCGGCAGCAGCAAAAGAACCGCTGAAACACGCTGACCTCCATTTAACCTCTAAATAATCTCCAAAACAGCGCCAGCCCTGTCAAACACGCTTAACACGAGTGCGATGTTGCAGCCCGCAGCCCGCCTTACGGCTACCAGCCGGGGATTTCCGAGGCAGCCTTTAATGGTCGCACACGCCAGCTTACTCTATTTACTCCGAAAGCCGTAAATGCCCCAACAACGTCTGAAGCCACGGAACGTCGGCCCTGCATCGATTACCGAGGCGTGATTTCGGTGGTCGCTGCTGAACAAAATGATAATGGTGCCCAACGAGAATATCTGTCACCGAGGTAAAGCGAGGAAACGTATTAGGCCAGTGCTGTATGTTTTTATTCAATTGGGTATAAATCCAAACTCCATTACGGCGAGAGGAAAGTAGATCAAACCTGGGGCGAAACCAATTTTTGTGTATTTAAGGCTAGGGTTTCTCTGCTCAGCTCCCTAACCTATTTTGCGAAAATGCACCCCTTTGGTGTAGGCTTAACGACCGTGATACGTGACGGGTTCGCCACCAACTTACTCAAGCGCCAGGTCTGAAATTCAGCGCGCATTTCCCAAGCAGGGACAAGGCCAGGGCCTGCGACTTACATCGGTCGGGGCCACTGTGTCGATCTTGAGAACACAGTGCATAACAAAGGTCATGTATGGTAAGGAATCCAGAACCGGCCTAGGGCAGTGTTCGAAGGAGCCTCGCAGAGGGGTCTTCGATCAAGTGCCGGATTAGAAGGTACAAGTGGCTGGCTGTAGGTCACACTAAGGACACAGGTTTGTAGGGCAGATCCATTTACGGCATTATCATGGACCCTCAAATGTCCGTCGGAAAAGCCTTTACACCGTTTGGGAACACCCAAGGCCAATACGGGCGTCTATTTCGGTCCGAGACTAACAACAGCCAACAGTCGGCCTCATGTTGGTCTAAGCGCTGGGACCCATTTACCAAGTAAAGACAAGTCCGGTGGCGGCGAGTCGCCTTGGTCGGGAGCGGGACCCTTGTAACAATATGTCGTGTCGGTCAGGAGACCACAGTGTCTGACAGATGGTCCCATGTTCGCAACAGGCCCGAGTCGGACACGGCAACATTTGACGGACATGAATAGAGATTAGAAACCGAATGCTAGAGAGCCTTTTGTTGGGGAGGTCTGTCAGTAAAAGTGGATATGATAATGTTCAATGAGAGTTGGGCGATCCTTAACGACCCTTAACGACCCTTAAGTGCACTTAGGCTCCTATCCTCTGGGATTCTTGCGCGGAAAATGGTAAGGGGTTGTCTAAGCATTAAATAAGGATGATCAAAATGAGGTCGAAAATGAACGTCAAAAATGAAAAGGACGTTCATCCAGGGGTAACACATTGTGTCATTTCGGATTTCTTGAGCCACCCTGGCCACAATGCTGATTTTGAAGGAATGTTCCACATCTCAAGATATTAAAGCAAGTATCAGATATGATGCAATCAATTCACTTAAACCTACTGACATGTTTTTAAGTGAAAAAGACTGCTCTAGATGGCAACATTTCTCGCTTTCGTAGATATGCCTCTCCATGCGTCATTATTTGATTACGTCATGAAAGTTTGCATGACGTTGAGATGGTGTCAAGTAGCTGTGCAAGATTGCCACTCTAGCACTCACATAAAGAACTCCAACCCGCCAAAAGACGGCAGAAGCGGAGCGGAAGATGTTCGCTTAGCCAAATATGGTTATGCGCTCATGTTTTGGGCCTCCCTCGTAGCGTTTCTGCACAGTTACACGAGAGTTTAAAACGTATACTTGCGTTTACATACTTGGTTATGGCGCCATTCTCAAGTTATTCAGTCAGAAACATCATTTCCGTAATAGCCAGCGACCATGCATAATTTCTTACATTACGCAGCAAAGAACGCAACTCATGGTTGGAACTGGCACAGCTTGCTCATTACTGAATGGGAGCACACTGACGTCTGTCAGAACTGTAAATCGTGCTCCTGGACGTCAGATCTGGATGGTTCTACAAAAATATTGTTATCAGCCTTAAACGTATCAAGACCTGTGATATGGCAAAATTTGAATGATGTTATTGTTGCATGCATGCATACCTGAGTGGCCTTGAAGTAATATGCACAAAACAGTCTGCACATCTTCGGACGGGTGTGTATCCCACACACTTGAAAGTTTAAAGTTTTGCAGGGACTGTTCCACATTTTGTCAGGTTTTGAACTAAATTAATCATTTTGAAGAGCGTTTTGTGCAGTTTACAGCCCTGCCCATCTTAAAAATTGAGCCCCCTAGTTTCTGAGCTGCACGCTCGCGAGGATGGAGAGACTATTTCGGGTAAAATATTGCAATGTCAACGTCGCATTCATGACGTCATAACAACGTTATTTAAATCCTGCTATTCCATAAGCCATGCGGTGATCAAGGCCAAAAATATATAATGTTCGAGTCGTTCATATTTGGCGTTCGTGAGCACGATTTCCACGGCAACGACCGCCAGTGGGGTCTCAATCAACGCTGTGCAAGGTAAAAAGACATATTTAAACAATGACATATCGAGCATATTTACTAAACAGGACAAAAATGGTGTTGTCTAGAGCAGTCTTTTCTTCTTAAAGATACACTAACAGTCATAGCTGAGCTTGTTTTCATTACATCCCATGCCTCCTCAAATATCTTCAAACGTGGAACATTGCCTTTAAAAGGAGTAACAATGACGCATTTAGGAGTATATTTACTGAACAGAGAAATTGTGATCTCTAAAGCAGTCCTTCTCACTAAATAGTATGCATTTTACTATAAGTGAGCCTATTTCATCATATCTGATGCATGCTTCAATATCTCAACTTTGGAGCATTCCCTTTAGGAAGGTAAGGGCTGTAACTGCACCAAATGATCTTCAAAAATGCTCTTTCGGTTCAAAACCCCCATACAAATGGCAAACATTGCCTTTAATCCCCTTCAATACTATACTGAACCCATCGCCCCCAATGCACATAAGCGAAAAAGGAAACACTGGGCCAATGAAATGCAGCTGGTGTCTAAGCTGCCGGTATAGTAGGCGCTAAACGCATCAAGAGACATCAAACATCAACAACATAAAAAGGTTGGAACCGATCAAATATTTATTTCAGCTTAATCTTGATATTAGGACCGGAAATTAAACTAGCCGATGTCCAGAGAAAAATCAGAATTTTAGCGTAGGTTAGGTCAGCTTTGTTGGCTCAGCCCATATCCTATTCTAGAGCGTCTTACCCCTGCGTGCATCCTTGATCCGAGAAAACATGTGGAACAATTTTAAAAAGAACTCTGAGCTTGCGTACTCGCAGTACTAGAAGGAAGAAAACCACTGGCCACAGTTGCAGTTTCCATGCAACCGAGCGGTGTTAGTAGGACAACAACGGATGGCGGGCACCTGACGCTCGAGAACAGCCGTTGTGAAATAATGCTCCCGAAAGTCTTTCTAAATGAATTTGTGCCGGTCAAAAATTAGACCAGGGCGTCAGTTTCACATGTCAAGTGTTGAGAATGTCTTCTGAGGTGATAAAAAACTTAAGGAACAAGAAAAAGCGGTTCTATGCTTATTTGTCTCATTCCGCCATCAAATTCCGTCGCCGATTTGCAGTTGTGTGGATGCTCATACGTTCCTATCATAAATATATAAGTTGCACAGGTGAAACCTGCTCCCAATTACCTTCTGAAAGTTCGAATTGGCATCTTAAAGCGTTCAAAAGTACTTCTTTCAGATACAATGCCGTTTTCGTCCGCTCACTGGCTGCCGCCCAATATAGGCAGAGACCGACGCCGCGGGGCCTACGGAGACTGCAACGCCGGGCCTCGGGGGTTTGTTCTAAAGTTTGAGACCTCGCGCTGTCAAAGCCATGCTATGTCACTCTTCTACTATTCCATTCTGAGCGAAGGTCGAAGATTCCAAGACGCCCTTGGTCACTGCCGTCTCAGAGTGAGCCCAATTAGCAACGCTTTTACAAACAACCTGCTTGCAGGCGGCATTAATATTATGGTCGTTTCATTCGCCATACATACGAGCTGAAGCGGGTTAGAGTGGCTTTCCCTCAGTGGCACACCAGCTTGGAACAGGGTCTCCCTGAATTACAGCTGGCTCGCAGTCGTGTGAGATGAAGCGAGCGGGGAAAGGCATTATGAAGGGGAAAACACGTCTCAAAGCGTTGTGGGGAAAGGTAGAGAACCATTTTCTGAAATTATGCTTGGAGGAGTGCTTACGCTTTGCTTGATGTAAAGTGAAATGTATATGGCTCATCAATGATTTTCGTTTTTAAATGTCGAGGGACTTCATGTACACGGTACACAATGCCGGACATATTGTGAACAATATTTTCGTGAATGCACAAAAATGCACACAAAAAGTTTAAGACAGGGAATGGTAAATTGTACGCATAGTTTACCTTTCAGTTCACAAGAGCGAGATGCAACTGCGCTCTTTGAGCTCCACAAAACAAGTGCGTTTATACAAAACTGATGCGAACTGCTAGGCTTGCATACGTGATTGATGTGGCTTCTCGTAGAAGGTTAAAAAAGATGTGGTAAGTGTAGTTTGAATCCATATATATATATATATATATATATATATATATATATATATATATATATATATAATATATATATATATATATATATATATATATATATATACGTATGTATATGTACGTATGTGTATTTTTTGGATAGCCAGAAACCAGAGCGTACGCCGACTTTGCTCGGGAAGGGGGGTGAAACGTGAGTGTCAATTTCTCAAGGTCCCAAGTACCTTGAGAAATTGACACCCACGGCCTGAATGACAGATTTGCGCAAATTGCCAATTTCGAGCAAGATGCATTTTAACTGATCGGGCCTAATCTCACGTCGAGGGGTGCAACAACAGGTGAGAAGGCTGAGAAAGCTCTTTCAAGCATTGGAAAATGACTTAAAAGAGCCTGCCACCCATCCCAAACAATATTGCCGAGACCTCCTTGGCGATCCCTGGTAGCAAGATGTTTCTGATCCCAAGATGTTCCTGCGGATCCAAAAGATTTTCTTAGGGATTCCGAATGCCTTCTTGGGGATCCCCATTAGCTTAAAGAGGTGGACAAGGCAACGGGCTCCGGAAGTTATCAATGAGTTCACATTTAGTGCTAGGTGCACACTTGTACTTACGAGTCCGTCCTTGATATGCTTGCTTTGGGAGTAATGCAAGTCAGATGTGACACGAATCGTTGCCTTTCCTTGCACCGGCTTGCCGTAGGTGTACCTAGAATTGGTTGCAGTAGTTTTACATCGAACCTAAAGTGCATAACTTCCGAAAGGCACTTGTAGTTCAGGGACTAACAAAGGCATGTATCTACAGACAGCACAGCCGTAGAACGAAATAATCGCCATTTTGGATGTTTGTAAACGTAGGCGCCCATGTCACCACACATACACCTCACACTAGTGCGGTATGGATCAGCAACCGTTTCAGTGGGTCATCGGCACAGTAATCACAAGGGGTAAGCGAGCACGCTTGACGCGAATATCCACCCGTCAACGGCGTCCACAATACATCTCGGAACATAACACTTTGGCACCCACCTTCCGCACACCTTCAACGTCACTTCTTCGGCGTCACCCAGAATGAATGGGGGACCCTGGATGTTGACCTCGAACCTGGGCAGCACAAACTCCTTGACCTTGAATGTCTTTTTCACCTTACGCCCGCCGCTTGTCGCCACGTGTATGTTCCATTCACCCTGCAAACAACGAGACGGGGAATAGACAGGCTTTCGGGCCACCAGCCAGACGGTACAGGAGATCCCCCGTGGTGATCTACCGACAGATTGTTACGCACTGAGCAGCCTTGCATGCTAATCCTGCAGTGACTGCATGGCCTATCCGAGGGATAAAGCGTTTTGAGCCAAGCTGGAAGCAACCGAACCAAATTGCCAAATGTGGCACGCTTTTAGCATGTTTGACTGAAGTATTTGAGTAAAGATATCGATAGCCTTCACATCCTTGAAAGTGTAAGCTAAATAGGCCATAAGCTCTTTGTTTTTCTGCAATTAGTATGGATGTTAGCAATGTTTTTAGTTTGCATGTACTTATGAAAACAAATGTCAGACCTTCAGTATACCAGGATAAGTGAAAGGTGCCAAAAATTCAGCGGGATGTTTTGCGAAAGCAGTAATTGTTTATCCGCTAAAGCACCTTTGTTGGTTAAACCCACGTCTTCGGATTCACTCATCCGTGGCTGGGGCGGCTTCGAGCCGCTTTGAGCGCTCGCTATGTGCCCCTGACTGGCGAGGCATGCAGCCGGCAGCAGGGGCTGCGCTTAAGGTCAGGTGACGTCAGAGGGTAGGACGGACTGTGCCGAGCACTACTGCACGGTAACGCCACAAAATCATGTCACTGACCTGAAATTTGCCTGTTGGAGGGTAGGGTGGCTGCCACTCCCCTAGCTCTCCCAGTCCTACAGGTGACACATGGCTGAAGACAGAACACCGCTTACACCTGTAATTTCACGATTGCTTAAAAGCCATCCCACTCGACGACATGTTTTGTTATGGCATAATGTCTGGCAGGGAGCATCAAGCATTATTGTTCCGGTCGCGTGCGCTCTTGACCCTGTATTTGGGACGTCCAGCTTTCTGGCCTTAGTTACATATCAGCAGAAGCTGAACTTCAGTGCCAGATAAAGTCTATAGAATCCACCAACCCCGCGAAGACTTCTGAACTTTCAAGCTCAAACTTGGTATATATTTGCTATGGACCGGTAGAAACCGAACGTGCATATTAACGTAATCACTCAGAACACGCGGCCTTTGAAGACCGCTGCTTCCGCGCGGAAGTCTACGCCTCTGTACGCTGATCGAGCACATATACTATGCTGATCTCATCCATGTTTCAGAAACATAAGTCATGTAAGCGACAAAATGACAATACCTAATGCATGATATTTTGCTCCACTATATGGGCATGCCTCGCATAGATCATTAACCAGGCTTTGTGCAGTCATATCTACGCGAGCACAACAAAAGTGTGGAAACTTGCGCGGCTTGTGTGGCATTTAGAAATTAATCACATTATGTGAATTGTTCTGAAACTGTATGTACTTTTGGGCTGCGACGCATGTAACGCACGTAACGCACGTGTAATGTAACGCATGTAACGCATGTCTCAGCTAAGAGTTTCATCTATCGAAGTATCTAGCCAATATCACATGTTTTAACTAGAGTGCAATTGTTATCTGGGATGTCTGATCTTCTAATTTAGCATTTGACTTAGCTTCAACACTATGGCCTCAGGTGCGATGGGTTTTATTGTATACAGCAATCGGCGATATCGATAGCCGCATTAGCTCGCTGAGCTAACATCATCTATATCCACTTAGCCCATCACAACCAAAAACCAATGCCAAAAACCAATAGGTATAAACAGGAACAGGATCTGATATTTTTAAGTGGCCACGTTTATAACATCACAATGCGAGGAAATCGCTCAGAACACTCCGACAATAATTTGTTGGGGCAACGCTATGGATTCAACACGAAAGAATTCTAACAGATATAAGTGGGCGAAAAGAAAGATGTGGTCCGCTCCGTTTATTTCTGGCTCAGCCCGTAACCGACAGGCGAGAGGGTAATCACGGCTGGCACTTTGTGTATATAAGGAGCGTCTTTGGCTCAGCCCCTCCCCCCCCCCCCCCACATATTAGCCCCGCGCCTGAAAGTCAGGTCTCCAACTGCACCAGCCACACTGGTCCACGCACACTTCCACACACCCATACACCCACGCACGCACACGCACACGCACACGCACACGCACACGCACACGTACACGCACACGCACACGCACACACACACGCACACGCACATGCACACACACACACACACACACACACACACACACACACACACACACACACACACACACACACACACACACACACACACACACACACACACACACACACACACACACACACACACACACACACACACACACACACACACACACACACACATACACACACACACACACACACACACACACACACACACACACACACACACACACACACACACACACACACACACACACACACACACACACACACACACTCTCACACACACACACACGCGCGCGCGCGCACACACTGGGTTCTTGGTAAGCTGCATCACCAGCTGCAATACTCACCACACTGTGTTCATCGACCAGCTGCGAGTCCAGCTGGCTGCATCACTCACCACACTGTGTTCACCGGCCAGCTGCGACTCCAGCTGCACCAATTACCACACTGTGTTCATCGGCGAGCTGCAACTCCAGCTGCACCAATCACGACACTGTGTTCATCGGCCAGCTGCATCTCCAGCTGCACCACTCACCTGGCTGGGTTCATCGGCCAGCTGCATCTCCAGCTGCGCCACTCACCAGACTGGACTCCTCGGTCCGCAGTAACCCCGGTTGCACCACTCACCAGACTGGGTTCCTCGGCCAGCTGCATCTCCAGCTGCACCAGCCCGCTCTGACCAGTCACATCTGTCCACTGCGCCACCCTCGTCCCGGCCGGCGATTCGATGTAAATCTGCGGCAACTGAAGACAGTGGGAAGAGAGAGTCAGCTCGACCAACTGGCTGCGCGACCGACGGACACTTGGATAGCATAGTGGGACATGACACCAATAACGCACGTCTAGGGGATGCGTAATTTAGAATAGCGTGACCTAACTATCGTCACTCATTAACGGGATTACAAAACAAAAAACTGTGTAGCACCGCCCGTATAGGGACAAAGCGCAAAGACCATCGAGTAGATGGGTATAAGGCCGCGATGCAACGCCGTTTCTAAACTGCGTTACTTCTCTCATGGTATCATATGGCACGTTGCCAAAAGTTTCCTCACGAGGTATAAATGTAAAATTCGCTTTCAGGTTTAGAAGCCTAAAAGACATTCTTGTAAATATCACGGCATCTGTTGCAAGCATTTCGGCTCAGCTGGAGAGCTGGCAGTACGGCCCTTTTTTCCATCCCCTTGCCTACATCCCTGGCCGTTGGTGTTTATGTTACTTTTCAACACGCGCGAGACCGCTGTCCGAGTTGTCTAGACCGCCATCGCAGCGCATGGTTCTCTTCGAGGTGCACACGTGATAGCGTGCCATGCGGAAGATCAGTGGGATGCAAAGTCACGTGATTGGTCAAACAAAAAAAGCGGCTTGAACGGCTTGAGCCGTTTGAGCCAAGCTTGCAGACGGTTGTTGCAGAAGCAAGACACCGACCATTGTGTATTTTTTTTCTATTGCCTTGGCACCGATGTAGGACCCAAATTTCTGTCAAATACACTGCAACGAATTGAAACTTGTTCCCATGTCACACTCATAATATATTTATTTGTCCAATGCCAAAATGAAGCATCGTTTTGGATCTATAATTTCTTTAAAGAGAAGACTACACCTTTGTTGGAGGCTTTGAATTGAAATTGACCTATTGAAGATTAGCCAGTACAGTTGACAACCCTGCCCCTTTAAGACCTAAACCTCTCTAGTTTCCGAGCTACGCGAGCGATACTGACCTGAGCGTTGACAGCCGTTTACCATTTCTTGCCATCGATATGGATGCAAGTAACGGATTTTTCCGTGACGACAATGCACCGTAGGCCTAATGATGCTGGCAAATACGCGAACCTGGCTAGCGAATGTCAAGAGCGTCACCACGTAGCTGTCATCCGTTCTTTTTCTACGACGCGCCTTAAAATGTGGCTCCCGCTGATCCAGCACGCACCACGAGCTTGAACGGTGCAAGCTGTTGCTTGTTTATAATTACTTTTCGAACAGCACGATTGACCAACAGATTATATCCAAATTGAACTGATGAAACTGAAATGTTTCGCAGAAATCGTCAGCTCAAATATCACACCAACTGACGACGACAATGCTATAAGACACGTGGTCTGTTGTAAGAGCAAGGCAAATAGAAGCCTTGCAATGAAAAACAGCCTGACACCAGACCAAATAAAGCGCACCGATGCAGTGTAGGAGTTAAGATGACGCACGAAAACTGCCGGTTCCGCAACACGACCTACATTGGAATGATAACAACATCTCCGTCACGACGCATGACATAGCACCTGCAGGAGGAGGCGCCAGACCAGCACATGCGCAAGGCCAACAACCCAGAACTTCTTAACTCTGGGCTAGCTAAAAACGCATTGATACTGAAATCATGTCCGAACGCCGTTATAAACTCTCGAAGTCACCCTCATCAGAGAAAGAACGTCTGCCTTAAACAAATAGCTAAGATCACGCATCACTTTAGACTTGCTCCGGCATCCAATGACAGTCAGGTGATTTGACATCTCGAACTTGCCATGGTGTGAAACTGGCTGGAAAATTGATATGCGTGAGTTTGTATATGTTTTATAATTTTGTCTGATATTCGAATGCATATTCTGTCTACTGATCGTTCACCTTTTATTATGTCAGGCAGAACGTGCCTCGTATTTGGCCATATTTGAGGGTTTCCTGCTGACTGTCTCAAATTACTTTAAAACTGGAGAACGAATGTCCTAAAAACATAACACTTAAATGACTGTAGGAAAAATGATTTATGACGCACCGAAAACCGCGGGAAATTTTATTTGAATAGCTGCGCAAACGCGCATTATGCTGATAAAACGCAAATTTGTCCTTGCATACAACACGCCTTTCATTAAAGTGAGTGTTCAAGATTTGTATGGGGGTTTGAACTGAAATATCTATCTTGAAAATTAATCAGTGCATTCGACAGCCCTGCTCGTGTTGCGACATAAGCTTCTCCATCTTCTGAGTTGCACACCCGCGAAGAGGTGCAGGCTTTTTCGGGGAAACTATTTCAAAGTCACCCAAGCATTGGTGACGTAATAACGTCATTCAAATCATGCCATTCCAACATCCAAGCGCCGATCAAGGCCAAGAAAGGTATAGTTGTCAATTCGGTCATATCTAGCGTTCGTGAGCACGCTTTCCAGGCATAAAAGCCATCAATTGGATTTCAATCAAGTTTGTGCAGGGCGCGAGGACGCAATCAAACAATGATGCATTGCGCCGCATATTTACGAAATCGAGAAATTGTTTTATCTTAAACAGTCTTTTCCACTTAAGTATATGTACATTTCTGACTGAGTTTTCGTTCATCATATCTGACCCTTGCTTCAATATATTCAGATGTGGAACATTCTCTTTAACGTAAGTATCCATGTGCGGGAGCGGACTGGGAAGGCACACCAGGTCTCCCCCTTAATGGGCGATGTGTGGCAAGGTTGAAAACACTGTTAGTCGCAAGCAGTTATAGCTGCAAGCTGCTTAGACTGAACTAAAAAGAAAAGGCACCTTGATTTTCGAAAAACGCTGCCAAGTATTTCATGGCTTAACACCAACAGAACTGAATAGTGGAGAGCGACAACTATCTTCTTCAAAATTTTGCTTGTGTGGTATTGAAAAACTTCGTTGTTTGTCGCAGCCTACTCGGTGGCACAGGGCACCAGATCGTAAAACCTAGAAAAATGAAATGCAAACACTGTGTGACACTGTGTCAAGTGAGTGTTTCACACTTGTGTAGGGTTTTGAAGTGAAATAGCACCTTGAAGGTCGCCCGATGCACTACGCAGTCTTTCCCTTCTTCAGACCTAAAATCCCCTTGTTTCTGAGCGTCGCGCTCGCAAAGACGTGTAGACTGTTTTGTGCAGACTATTTCAAGGTTAATCAGGGAATTGTAATACGATGATAACGTCATACGTATCCTGCCATTCCACTGGCCAAGGTCAATAAAAATTTAACTGTCGAGTCGTCAATATCTGGCATCTGTAAGTACTATTGTCATGTATAATTGGCGTCAATTGGCTCTCATCCAAGGTTGTACAAACCGAAACCGAAAGAACCGAAATAGCCACCTTGAAGATCAAATTTTGCATAGCTGTAGGCAGTAGAACAACGGATCGCCTAGCATCAAAAATTTAGATGTACCTTGTAAGGTCGCTGACCTATGGCAGGCCAAAGCCTGGCCATGGTTTCAGCGAAGGCGATTTCTAGGGAATTCTTCAATCTGATCCAACAACGGAGTGTTAGACGAAGCCATACATCTCTTAGATGCTTTCTTAGGCAACACGACAGTTGAATGAGCAAACGACATTGACCTAAAGTCAGGTATGAAGTTAACACCAAGGTCAACACCAACCTGTTTTGCTACTCTAGGGCTTGCTGTATAGAATAGTTTCTGGTGCTCATTTCGAATTTGCTGATGGCAGGAACCGCATTATACATCTTCCATGGCCTTCTTAGAGTTCAGAATAGGTCATTGACCTAAAATGACCGAGGTCAACATTTTGTTTTAGGGACATGCTGCCTAGCGTAATATTTGTCGCTTAGTGAAATGCACTCTGGTTCTGGGGACACTTTGGAGACCAACCTGGAGCCTGACCTTGTTTTACCTTTTTTGACCCGAAGATCATAACCTAGGAACTTGCAACTTGGACATAGTGAGTTCACGTACAGGTTAACATGTCCTGTAAATTTGGTACCTCTATTTTTCTTAGTTCCAGAGATCTCAGGGCTCAAATTGACCCCCCACCCCCACCCCACCACACCCGTGCAAAGCGTATCTAGCCCCGGGCGGGTGTTAAGTCGCAAAAATTCAAAGTTTGTAAGATTGTGCCCCATTATGTCACTGTTTGCTGGCGTCATGGAATCGTTTTGTGACGACAGCAATACCTGGCAGCATCTGGCATCCAGACCTTAAGAATACCTCGAAGCACACGAAAGCTGACGCCAACCGGACATTCTCGTCGCGGGCGCTGTGTCGGGTGGCGGGTTAGAGGGTGGTTGTGGATTTTTTGTATTGGTGCTAGCCGTTAGAAAAGCTTTGGCGGACTGTCTGACATACGCAGCGTAGCGATCGCCGGCTTTTATGCCGGATTATTAATATCAAAGCACGATGTGCTGTGCTGTTGCTGTTGCTGCTACGCTGTTGATGATTTTGTCAATGCTGTACTGTTGACCTATCCTTGCCTGCAGTGCTGTAGTCATGACATTGATATCTTGTGATGCACACAGTAGTTACTTTCTTTATTGTTTATAACTGGAAATGCGGTGTCATGTGAAAATTGATAGATATGCTACGTTGCTATGAATTGATTGCCAAAGCATTGTCATTGCTATGATGAAGATGGCGAAGTTGGGGCACCAATATTTTTTTTTTTTTGCTTAGGATCATTTATGCAATTACTATTTAACCCTCATATAATCGATGTAGTGCAATGGTATTCTTGCTGTCGGTAGCCCTTCGGCATTGTTAAATCAGTTCCTACCAACCATTCATAAATTCTAAGCTGCTGTCTCATAGGCTTGCCATAGAGTAGTCAACCAACGTGGTACATTGTGCACTGCTTTTATAATAAATTTCATCGAAAAGATGGCTTAAGCGTGCACTCTTGTATTGACTCCCCATCTGGCATATGACTGACCAAAAACACTTGACACAACATAGAAATCACTTTCAGCAAAGCAAACAACCAATAAGTGACATCACTTCCTCAGCCTGTTTTGGTAACCCACAAAACGTGGGTGACAAAGATGCAAACACGTCTTGCACTTTCACAGCCATGTAACATGTTGCAGCCATCAGGCTGCTTTACACAAAAATGGCAGGAAAATTTTACATGTGGTGAAATGACACTGCAAACATGCTGAGACTGGAGAAATGATAAGTGCATGTACTTATGGGTGGATGGGCAAAATGCAAGGAAGTTATGAAGCCGCCAGCGCACAAGCGGCTCATGATGAAAATATTAAGTGCTATCCAAGACGCCAACAGCAATACTTGACCACCTATCTCACCACCCAGCACCTCATGCAGTTACAGTGACTATGACATTTATGACTCACAAGCAATGCTTGCCTGCATACAAAATTTGTTAAGACAGTAGAATGTGCATCATTAATAATACAGCGTTATATTTACAGAATTATTTAGGAAAGGACAATTTTGCAAAGCCGTATCACGTGAACCTATACTGAGCATGTGCGTTAATGAGCTGCGCGCACTAGCCCCTGCTGCCAAAATAAATTGCTGATATAATGGCATGCAATATATTAATTACATTGCAATGACAATATGCAATCACATAGATCAATAGGTTTAAAATCTTGACAAGATCATGACATGCCGAATTGTCTTTGTACACATCTGCAACATAAGTCCTAGTGTTTCTCTTAGCTTGCCGACATTACCTTGCCATGTTCAAACACAACCATTAAGGCAGAGGCAAATATTGATATATCACATTTCATTGGGTATCAGTAGACTTAAATAATGTCACAGCAATGCTCTTACACTTGCACAACTCGCGTAGTTATAAAATTGCACGTTTCCTCACAAGTTCCGCACAGAATTTCGAACATAATACCGCATTTCGCCGTGAGCACCCTTCAAAACAATGTCCCAACGAGGTGCCACGGTAATCCGGCTCAAGAGGTCGTACTTGTGGAGCACAATTTTTTGTTCAAGATGTAAATTTGTCGTACAGTGCGTGTGTGAAATATTGAGTATAAGATGTATCTAAAATCACTGTAATGTTTCCCTAATTTATTAATGCCGTGCTAACCCAGAAGCCCGTGCAAGGTTCTGTGATCCGGTACACAGAGCTGTCGTGCAACCGAGCTGTCTGTACGAAATGCGCCAGTAGAAGAAGAATAAAAACGCCAGCAGGGAAACAAAGTCAGATTTGCCCTCGTGTCTTCTTTTTTATAATATTCGTGAGGATGCTCGTTTTCTGGGTGCCGAACTTTTTCGGCAGACAGTGGTGTTCTTTTTTATAACACTGACCGAGGAAAAATGCCCCGTTCACGACGAGTGCCACACAACCCAAAAGTGTTCACGCTTACGTTCGCGACACACATTCAGCAGCGAGATCTTGCTAACAGCCAATCCCCTTCCGCGCATTGATCATACGTGCCGTATCATCGCTTTTGCGAATGTTTCAGTGGTCATGCTGTTTTGACCATAAGCAGAAAGCAGCCTGTAGTATAGCTGCGATCGCATGACGTTTCTACGACGTCATTAATGCCAAGGTGGCTAAAGTAGGCTCCCAATAAACCTTTTCAAACTTTGGCGGGCTCAGGAACCGAAGCGCTTTGGGTCTTAAAAGGACATGACCGTGAACTGTATCAAAGCGTCCTCAAGGTGGCTATTTCGGCTCAAAATCCTATACAAATTGGAACATTCCCTTTAAACTCAGGGATGAATATGTTAGCGCGCAACGATTATGTTTGGCCCGATGGCAAGACCCCCGGAACGCGAGTACCCAAGATTTAGTTCAGCGCGCATCCAGTAACGCCTTGCCACGTATTGGGTGATTGAAGAGCTACGAGTGAGTTTTGTCATATAAACGTTTCATGACGAAAACAAACAAGTACGCACCGGTGTCGACTTATACTCTTTTGGGTGGACCACTGCCTGTCCCGCAATGTCCAATCTGCTCCCCCCCCCCTCCCCCAATGGTGAGTTTGGTCCCCCAACTTTCTGGAACATGAAGTACATGAAGTACATGTACATGTACATGTAGAAGTACAAGTACATGAAGGCCCGTTACAAAAAGAAGCTCAAACTATGCAAAATCTAAAGAATGCTCTACTTATTGTGTCTCAGGCAAAATATCCATAAAAGAAAACAAAAACTGCTATACTTTGTCCAGTTAGTGCACCTGACTGAGTTAGTCACACTTTGAAAGCTCCGCGGTCGTACCGTGTTGACTCGAGTTTTGTGTTGTTTTTTTCTGCACACTGCATACCTTTAACCACGCGATTTATATTTATTGCTTACTATGGTCCAGTTTTGTGCTATTGCGGGAGTGTTTTGACATTATTCAGTAATGTTTTGAGCCATACAGACTGCAGCAAGTAGCGTTGATGTGCTATGACGTCTTATCGGAAAATAAAAAACAAAACGGTGGAATACTTGCACCCAAAAGCGTGGTCAAGTTCCTAGTCGTCTTCATTCGGAGGAATCCTTAAAATGTTTCGACCTTCACTTCAACGTGGATATTTGGCGAAGCAATTGCCAAGATGTGACGATCGACGCCAACCGGCTAGGCTGGTAGCTGTAATCGTCCGACTATGATTGCCAACACAGGCCATGTCGAGCGTGCCTAGCGGGGGTGGTGCGCCTGCACCCCGCCTTGCGGCAATCAGCCGGGATTTCCATGGCAGACGTCACTTGTCGCCCAAATCAACTTACAATCTTTGCTCCCAAGGAGTACATATCCAAAAACGTCTTAAGCCGCATACCATCAATTCTATAACTATTACCGATACCTGGTTTCAAAGATCGAGACCAAACAAAATTATAATGATTCCCAACAACAGCAACTTTCGCCGAGACAGGGCAAGCAAACGCATTAGATCGGGCTGTGCTTTCCTTTTCTGCAGGGGGAAGGACAAGAGACTCAAGTTCCATGGCGTCGTTGAGAGTGAAATGGTTCAAAGCCGGGAACTACCCTGCTTTTTAGTGCATCTGGTGTTCGTTTTTTCCCCACTTCGCTTCACCAACCCTAGTTTGCTTAACTACATTCCTATGGTGAAGTCTTAGCGACCGTGACAAGATTCGTCACCAGATTGAACTTTAGGGTCAGATCTGGGACCTTGGCACATTTCCCAAGCAGGGACAGGGTCAAGTGTCGCGATTTGCATTGTTCGCGGCCATTAAGTCAATGAGCGGCCACTGCTTGGTCAGGGGAGGCACCTGACAAGGGTCGGTATTGACAAGGAACACCAGAGTGGGCCTGAGACAGCGCTCGAGGACCCGCAGAGGAGCCGAAGAGCCCTTCGGGACCGACGATCAAATGCCCGATTGAAAGGCACAAAGGCGGGGCCGGGCCATGAACTGTCAGTCCAAAGCCAACTTGCACCGATCGGGTACACCCTGGGACAAGCGGGCCCCTATTTCGTTCGTAGACCACCAACGCCGAACAGTCGGCTCCGTGTCGGTCTGAGCTCCGAGGGACCTTTTCCTAAGCAGGGAACAAGGTGGGAACACACTATTTGCATTGGTCGGGACCACCGGTCAGGACCGGCGAGGCCTCGGCGCAGTGCAGGGGCTCCCGACCCTGCGGTGTAACTTACCGGTTCCGAAATTGGCCTCAGGTTCGAGTCGACGGAGAAGACGCGGAAGCGGACCAGCTGTCCCGGCTTGTATACGTACTTGTCTGTCTGAAGGAAGTGATGCTCTTCAGGAACGTCGCTTAAACTGAAACGCGCGGCATTCGCCGGTATGGACACTAATGGGGCTTGTATCTTGTATCGCAAAATGCTGTAAAGCGCGAGGCCCTATCCTGTGAATGTTTGAATTGTTGTTACCAATATGGAAGTGGTTGCCAGACTAAATGGATCAGATGCCGCACATTTCTCTTTTCGAAGTTATATTGCGGGCAAGTATGCTTTTTGAATGATGCTTTAACACGCGCTCGGTTGGGATGTCAATTAGCCCCTTCGAAGGTTGTTGTCCGGAATTACATACGAACGGCGCGGCGTAGCGGCGCCAAATTTTTCCCGAATATAAAAAATTGAACAGCAAATAGTCTCACATTCAAAATTTAGCTATACATCGTAAGGTCAATGACCTAAGGTAGGTCAAAGTCAGGCCATGGATTCAGCGAAGACAAGTTACTGGGCACCGTTTAATGTCATGGAACAGCGAAGTGTTAGACGAAGCCGTGCATCTCTGTGATAGTTGCCTAGGCAACAAAACAATTGCGTGAACAAATTTCATGGAGATTAGGTCAGGTATGAAAGTCAGACCTGGGACGAAACCAAGCTGTTTTATTACCCAGACCTTGCTGTATGGGATGGTTTGCGGTTCTCATTTTGAATTTATAGATAACAAGAGCTGCGTTACAATCTTTCATGACCTTTTTTTAAAGTCAGAGTAGGTCATTGACCTAAACTGACGCAGGTTAACGCTTTCTTAGGGACAAACTGACTATCGTAATCCTTAACGTTTATTGAAATGCAAAAATCAAAGCACTTTTGTGTGATTTTAGCCACCATGACATTTAAAATGTCACGCAAGATCATTGACCTTAAATGAATGCCATTGACCGTTTGTTTAAACAGGTATCCAGGTTCACGGTGGTTGCATGGACGGTCTTAAGGTACTTTGGATACCAATCTGGGTTTCGAACTTGTTTGACCTTATCTGACCCGTGGGTCCAGACCTAGGAATTCAAATTTTGACACAAGTGAGTGCACGTATGGGCCAACTCACCCTGTGAATTTGGTATTTCTAGCTCTTCTCTTTCTGATATTTCGGGAGGGTCAAATTAACCTCCACCCGAACGAAGGGCATTTAGCCGGCCACCCCGGAGTGTGTTAACATAATCGTTTGAATCCGGTGCTTTAGCGCGAATGCGTCACATTTGTGAACCGGGTAACTTGACATCAGAGAATGGCTACCATGCAGACCTGGTTGCACCTTCCACCCACCAGCCACACCATAGAGTGGACATGAAATACACATGATACACAATTATCCCTTAATCACTTCCTATTGACAGGTGGACTCTTTATGCATTGCTGCAAGCATTGTGGTGCTCTCCAGCCGTAAATTCGCCCGGCTGTACCGTCAGGACTTCTTTACATACGAAATTCTGTATCTTCACCACATATATGGAAAGGGGTTCTGCATCCACACAAAAACTCTTCTTAGCAAAATGTCGTTGAAAGACATAATTCTTTCTCACTTATCTACACATAATTCCGCTTTACTTTTTTGCAAAACTCGCAGCAGATTTCAGTGGAAAGACACTTTATTTGACTTACTAGGTAGAGACGCGTAGACTTCCTGATATGGCGTAGTCGACGGCGGATGGGTAAGTCACTTCCAAACCCATCCAGGCGTTATAAATCCTCTGTTTTGGTAGTTGAACTGCAAAGCAGGTCTGTTTAGATCCACCTGAAATACGACATCGTATTAACGACTGTTTTAGTCACATATTTGCTGCGCGTTTCCTATTTTCCCCTGGGAGGTGCACGTGTATCTGAACACCGTAGGGCGGATGGGGGCTTAACGAAGCCATGCTATCGCGAGGAGCCGCCGGTTTCGCTCCAAGACGCTGAGCCGACTGATGGGTGGCCTGGCCAGGAAGCGCGCTCATGGAAACAGATGGTGTGGCTGGCCTCGCCGTCACCGGATGGGTGCATTCAGATCGGTCAGTGGTGACGATGTCAAGCACTTTGTCCACTCGCCGAGGGAGCGAGCAGCGACCGAAGATCTCCGGTCGGGCTCGTGCATTGCTCTGGTGTCATGTCTCCAGCTATAAGAAACAGGCATATGCACGCGATGCATTCATTGCCAACACGCTGGCACTATCCAACAGGTCAATTACTGACTTAAAACGTTAGTAGATACCATGGGGGTGCAGATGCATGCCTGAAACTGAAAGCAGCCGCCCAGCATGGTAATCATAATGTCCGACGAAATCAATCAGCTCTTTGAATTGGTGGCCTCACATCACAGTTTAACAGCTACCATGGGTGTTAATCCCTGTTATAACGTTAAGTGCTGCGTACGATTGTGCTTTAGTAGTGCCAGTATGGGATTACAATCGCTGACCAGCGCTAAGACGGTGGCAGAAAATTTACTAAATGCATTAATATACAGCTCGGTGTTGTGCCCGACACAAATACACGAGGCCAGATGCCGCAAAGATAACAGCTGCACAGAAGCTTTTGTTAGATGCCTTGGTTTTCAGCTTTATTGTTAGCCTGTGAGCATGCACCGTGCACCCAAAAATGACATTTAATCAAGCATACATTTTCAGAAAGCTCGAGTCGGCCACAACGGAGATCAATTCAAACGCCAGCTCAGACTACATAGTGAGTGGCAGCCTCGCACGTGGCCACGAAGTCCCTGGGCCGCCATACCCCGGCTCGGTACTCACCCGCCACGCCCGACACCTGCTGGGTGTGCTGTGCGACCGTCGGGCCACTCTCACTTCTCTTGAATGTCAGCGTCAGGTCGCCGGTCTCGGGCACGTCGAACAGGGTCAGACACACCCGCTCAGGCGTGCCGGCGACGAAGGCTTTGGGCGCTGTGAACAGGTACCGGCTGCAACAGCGGACCAACGCTACTGTCAAAGCTGGAACAGCTGGCCAGACTTTTGTTGACCTGAACGGGAGTGCCGACGCGTTTTAGCTTATGCTTATGTTAATCGAGCTGTCATCCATGTAATTTACATGAGACTCTGCAAATTTGACCACTTCGACCCTTTTTCGCGTTATTATGTTCATGTAGTGTTCTATGTTATATTTTTCATCTAGTATGCTATATGCAATGTCACACCATTCTAAGGGTACCAATCATACAAGCTACATGTTCTTTATCGTATAATTATATAAACATGTGCTGCAAACACGTAGAGGTTTGAGAATGTTTCAAAAAGTGGGAGGCAGACATAGGGTATAGTTCAGGAGGTTTTCTAGGAAAGCTCCTAGAAAAGCTCCACGCCGATGACCAGGGGATGGAGATAGAGATGGAGGCTATTGCCTGCTCTTGACAGGCGCTCGGGTGGCCCTCCGAAGATTTTTCCAGAATGATTTCCGAACAGCGGGGCGCAACCACGACAAATATTGCATAGCTGTAGAAAATTGCATAGCAGATCATTTGACATAAAAAATTTAGATGTACCTTATAAGGGCACTGACCTATGGCAGGTCAAAATCAGGTCATGGTTTCAGCGAAGGCAATTTCTAGGGAATCCTTCAACCCGATCGAACAACGGCGTGTTAGACGAAGCCATACACATCTGAGATGCTTTCTTAGACAACGCAACAGTTGAATGAGCGAATTACATTGACCTGAGGTCAGGTATAAGGGTCTCACCAAGGTCAAAACCAACCTGTTTTATTACCCTAGGGTTTACTGTATGGGATAGTTTATGGTGCTCATTTCGGGTATATTGATAGCAGTAACCGCACCGTACATCTTCCATGGGCCTCTTATAGGTCGGAATAGGTCAGTGATCTAAAATGACGTAGGTCAACATTTGGTTTTGGGAACATACTGCCTAGCGTAATCTTTGCTGCTTAGTCAAATGCAAAGCTCAAAGCAATCTGGTATCATTTTGGTCACAATGAGCTTCAAAAGTTCAAATAACTTAACTGACTTTAAATGAGAATGTGACCTTTTGCTTAAAAACGGTTATCTGCGTTCTGGGGGCACTTTGGAGACCAACCTGGAACTTGACCTTGTTTGACCTTTTTGACCCAAAGGTCATGACCTAGGAACCTAAAACTTTGACTCAAGTGAGCTCACGTACAGGTCAACACGCCTTACAAATGTTGTGTCTCTAGCTCTCTTGGTTCACGAGATCTGAGGGGGTCAAATTGACCCCCCTCCCCCCACTCGAGCGAAGGGTATCTAGCCGGCCACCCGGCGCGTGTTGATTCACATAACACATTTGGGGAATACCTAAATGTAAAAGCTTCCATACTAGATATAAACCTACAGCTGTTCCTCGCTGGTGCACAATCTTGTCTATTCGACTCATCTATGACATATGGCAAATAAGGCTTTCCAGCTTCCCAGGATTTATTCTTTCATTCCAAGATTGTTTTCCCCTGGGCAGCTGAAATTCCACGAACGGGTAGGCTTTCTTGAAGATTTGATCCGAGCTCTTTTGAATGGAAGGATTTCTAGGATCAGCGCTCACGATAAGCTGCGCTTGTTGTGTGAGTCCTGACCCCAACATTTGGTCGCGCAATCCAGGCAAGGCCAGAATTTAGGGGCGAAAGTTTAACGTGCCGCAATGCTCGGCAATCAGCATTTTCGGGCATTGAGGAGGTATCTGCCTCACAGGCTGGTCAAAATTTCGAACGCGAATCGATAGCCCATAAAGCACAAGAGTTTTCATGCGCCTAAATTTCGCCGACTTCTTTTAAACAGGCACGATTTCTGGCACCACTTTAGGCAGAAACAAATTCGGAAGCTTCAAATGCTAACTGTCAAAAACGGTATGACAGACACCATAAAACTTGAGCTTCTCCTGTAAAAAACTAAGTCTCGGAACGAAGGCCCTTCCTCCTGTCATTTATTCCTTATCTGAGCCCTGCTCCCGTCCGTCGTCGGCAGCCACTACCTTGGCCCGGCTGTGCCCGCAGGACTGGCTGCGAACTGATCATATGGCTGTTTTGCAGCATGCTAATAGTTCAGCATTGTTATTTATACGTGCTTAAAACATATATTGGACACCAGCAATAGTACTTTCCCCGAATTATTTTCCTTTCCTCCCACGCTACTGCAGAACTAAAACCTACGCGAAGCTGCCTGCCTTAGGCATAAATTGGTCACACCGACACCCAACCGTCCCTAATTCAACGTAGCCGGTTTGATCTGCTTTTGTATGTAGGCAGGGACCTAGCCAGAGCTTTGCCAGGAGGGGGGAGGGGGCAGCGTTGGTGTGTTGGCTGCACAGGGATAACCGTAAGGGGGAGGGGCAAAGTCCCGCACGGTTATCTTTCCTCCCCAATAAAATCGCGGGATATAGCTTGCTTATTAACAAGGGATACGGATATTTTCCTTTTATCTTCATTTTCACCTTGGAACCAGAGCGGAAACAGGAAACAGGAGCTAGCGCCTGGTCAATTCTGTTTGTATTTTGAAGCCAATAATAACTTGCATAAGTCAGGCGATGGACGGCTGTATGGAATACATCACCGGCACCTCTAATCTACAGTGGCTCAGTGTCTTCTAAACAAATAAAATGCAGCTCTGTCAAAAATTTATCTGGGTTCCACAGACATATTAACACATGCCCGGGTGGCCGGTTGGAAACTCTTCGCTCGAGTGAGGGGGGGGCGGGGCAATTTGACACCCAGCTGAAATCTCAGGAACTAAGAGGGCTAGAGACACTAACTTTACAAACTGTGTTGGCCTGTACGTAAACTCACTTAAGGAAAATTTGGAAGGTCATGTGAACTTGCTTGACCTTTCAAAGGTCATGGTGACCAAAGTAATAGAAGACTGCTTTGAGTTTTGCAATTGAATAAGCGACAAATATTATGCTAGGCAGGATGTTCCTAAAAACGAAATATTGACCTGAGCCATTTTATGTCAGTGACCTATCGCGACCTTTAAGAAATCTGTGGTAGATGTCTAATACAGTTCCTGCCTTTAAAAAATTCGAAATGAGCACCAGAAACTATCTCATAAAGAAAGCCCTCGAGTATACAACAGGCTGGTTTTGACCTTAGTCTGACCCTCATACCCCGACCCTAGGTCAATTAAATTTTTGTCATTCAATTGTTTGTGTTGCCTAAGAACGCATCCTCAGAGATGCATCGGCACCGTCTAACACTCGGTTTGTTCCACCAGATTTCACAATTCCCAAGGAACTAACTCCGTTGAATCCATGGCCTGCCTTCGACCTGCCGTCGTTTAGATCAAGTAAACTTGCAATGGTACATTCTAGTTGTTGCCTAGCACACGATCTGCTATTCAATTTTTCTACAGCTATGCAATATTTGGACGGCGGGCAATGTTCCCGCCCGTTCGGACACCATTCCGAGAAGGAAGAGAACCCCGGCGGGGTCCATTTACAACCCCGGCCCTATGCGCGTCTTCTTAAGGAGCCCGGCCGACAGGCGGCTTTGCCAGATGATCGAAATGGCGTCAGAGTGATGTGAAGTCACATGGGCCACCCAAACCATGTGTGGTCCTGTAGATTTTTCACATTTGGTCAGAATCGATTAGTAATACAATTATGTAACGTAGTTTTTGAACACGCGCGCCTCGGCAAATATTTGCCAGCAAAAGCCTGGACGCCAGGCGTTTTGCAGTCTCCATGGGGCCGTGCCGCGTCGGCCCGGTAGCTAATATTGAGTTGTGGCCAACAGGTGAACGAAAACGATGACCCCCTTTTGAAAGGAAATACATTTCCACACTTAACTAGATAACCTCATAAAAATTGTGTAACGTAGTTTTGAACAAGCGCAAGCAGATCTTACCAACAAAAGCCTTGACGCCAGGCGTTGCAGTTCTCCACTAGGTCGCGCAGCGTCGGTCTAACAATTAATAGTGAGTTGTGGCTAACGGATGGACAAAATAATGACGCTTCTGAGAAAAGAACCTTTGAACGATTCAGGATTTCAAATCTTTAGATGTAGAAGGTAGTTCTGGGCATTAAGTTTTACCTGTGCGATTTTTTAGATGATGATAAGAAAGGAGTGGTCATTACGAGACCGCGAAATGGTTGTTGGAATGTGGTGGTGTAAATGAAAGAGCTAAATGTAGGAGCTTTGCTTTTTCGTGCTGCTATGACTGTTATCTGTCCAAAGGACAGATTCACGTGGTCCCGCTTCCTGTGTTCCTTGCGGTGGCCAACGCTGTTCGACTTTAGAGACACGTCATCTCTGTTCGTGTTCCCAACATTGCCCATAGATTGGGGTGCCAACATTGAAACTTTTTGATGTGGTTTGTTTTCACTTATGGATTCTGGAAAGAATGAACAGTCTTAGACGAACATGGGATTTTAAAGTTTAAAAACATGTTCGTTTCTTAACTAATTCCGCGCCCATTCAAATAACAATGGCACCCCCTATCCCTTCCGCCGGACAAACGGCTCCTTGAGTAGAACACCAGGGGCATCTTACTGGTCCAGGTGAAGGGCTATATGGTAGAATTCTCGGTAACGGTAGACTTCTCAACTGAATCTCGTCCAGCGCTCGTGAACGGGACTGTTGTTACGAATGCTCTTTATTCTCTCTTAAGTCTAGATCCAGCTCGTAAAGCTTCAACCAGACTGACAGCCTTTTCCTTGCCGACTCGTATACGGCTTCCCTTTTCCCCGCCGATTCGCATCCGGTTTCCCTTTGTACGAGAGCCGAGCCACACGGAAATGGTAATAGTAGCTAAGGGAGATATACGGCGGACACGCCCGAAAGATGCGACTCGGCTTTGGTCACGATTCAGGAGGAGTCAAACGATTGCAGTCCTTCTCTTATGCAAATGAATGTTTGATGGCGACCTCAGGCGTGACAACATGGGGAGACGCTGGTCATATAACATGGCCAAGACCAGTTCGGACCGTCCGGAATGCAGGGTTACGCCGGCGGCAACTGGATCTATCCGTTGGTGTGCAACGCCTCGGGAGAGATCGAGACACTACCAGTTGTCCTCTTATGTGGTGTATGCCAGGTCTTAAGGACCTTGACCTTGTTGGCGGGATGTTCGTCATGGATAGAGGTCCCGTCATCGATGCCTAAAGTAAGGGCAACAAGGGACTAAGTCGTCCGACAGGCCGGTCAAGCCCAGTCTCCAGAGCGCGCCGGCCACGGGGACTGAAACGCGTAAACCCAGGTCATGCCGGGGGCTAGCTGTCTGCCAATGGACTCAACCGTCCCATCAGGTGCGCTGTCTGCCTCCAGGCCTCTGAGGGACGCGCCGCGGGGCGGTGCTTTGTAAAGCTTATTCCGGTAGGTGGGAGGCGAGGGCGCAAAAGCGCCGGAGGCAACGTCTTCGTGGGGGTGACCAAAAGAGTGGTGGGCCACCCCACCGTGCACAGGACACGAGGGAGCGTCGTCCAAATAGGGATCCGTCACCCTGGAGGCTGGCAAGGGAACGAGTTGTCGTTCAGCTGTGGGAAACCTCAGGCGGCCCAGAGGCCGCATGGGTATCGTAGTCAATATTTTTTTCGGTGCCAGGCTGATCATAATATTGATTTGGGGTGTTTTAAATAGGGCATGAATTTGGCTTCACCGGACGGCCGGAATACCTGAAATGAAATGTAATTTAGTTCGACAAGGACTGGCGCGGACGTGACAATTACAATGGCAACAAGGTGCTGGAAAGGAGAGGGCAAGGGGGGGGGGGCTTCTGCCCGTGCGCGAGCCAAGAACAAACGGGCTGACGGGGCGCCAATGTATGTATATGCTTAGAGTGAATGTGGTGGGGCGTCGAAAACATAAGTCTCAGTGGGATACCGTAGTTAACGGTGGACAGCCATGCACGGGGAGACAGTCATTCATGGTGTCTGACCGCGCCAACCGTTCCGCCAATGCCCTGGTCACCGGTATCATCTTAACGCTGTAGCTCACGCGTGCGTGTTGATGTCGGGTGTACTTGAGTCAGAATGTGTCGAGTCCCCACCAACCTCCCCCCCCCCCCTCCCAACAGGATCATTTGGTCAAGTAGCCATGCTCGATGTCCTCGTCGAAATATCGTACGCCACTGCCACCGTGATGGCGGGGAGAGGCTGTGCTCTTAACACTTAACACACACCCGGATAGCCGGTTGAATACCCTTCGCTCAGGTGAGGGTCAACTTTAAACCTGACAACTGACAAACTAAGAGATCTAGGCAAATCAAATTCGCGGGGTGGATTGACATGTACGTGAACTCACTGGTGTCACAATTTAAAGTACCTTGAAGGGATGTTCCACTTTTGAAGATATCGAGGTAGGCATCAGATGATGGGAAAAGCTTACTTGTAAGTATGGTATGCTTTCAAGGTTCAAAATGACGCTAAGTAGCAAAATTTTAAAGTTTGCAAAAAATGCGCCCCATTACTTCATTGTTTGATGGCGTCATGGAATGATCCCGTGACGACAGCAATACCTGGCAGCACCTGGCAGCCAGACCTAAAGAATTCCTCGAGACATATGAAAGCTGACACCAGCTGGCCCTTTTCGTCGCGGGGGCCGTGTCGAGTGGCGGATTAGTGGATGCTTTACTCGTGGATTTTTTGTCTTGGTGCTGGCCGTAAGAAAAGCTTTGGTGATTGACATTCGCAACGCAGCAATTGCCAGCTTTTGTGGGAGATTGTTAATGTGGAAGCACGGTATGCTGTGCTGTTGCTGTTGCCGCTGTTCTGTTGATGATTTTGTCAATACTTTATTATCGACCCACCGTTGGCTGCAGCACTGTAGTCCTGACACTGATATATGTGATCTGCAGGGTAGTTACTTTCCTTATTGTTTGTACTTGGAAATGCGGTGTCATACAAACATTAATAAATGTGCATCGCTGCTGTGAATTGATTGCCAAAGCATTGCTATTGCTATGATAAAGATGGTAGCATTGGGCTACCAAGGTTTTTTGCTTATAAGTGTTTATGCAATCAATAGTTAACCCTGATATAACCATTGTGGTGCAATGACATTCGTGCTGTTGATGGTCCTTTGGTATTGTTGAATCAGTTGTTACCAGTCATTCATGAATTATAAGCTGCTATCTCATAGGCTTGACAGAGTAGTCAACCAATGTGGTACATTATGTATGGCACAGGTGAACAGTTGTGGCACTACCTCGGTGCTGTACTGTGGCATGACATAAGGAACAATGGTATGTTTTTTGTAGTGCAATCCATGCTGCTTTCATAATAAATTCCATCACAAAAAGATGGGTCAAGTGTCCTCCCTTGTATTGACTCCCCATCTGACTTGTGGCTGACCAAAAACATTTGATACAAAATACAAATCACTTACAGCAAAGCTGACAACCAATAAGTGATATTACTTCCTCATCCTGTTTTGGAAATCCACAGAACATAGGTGAGAAAGATACAAACACATCTTCCATTTCCACAGTCATGCAACATGCTGCAGCCATCAGGCTGGTTTACTAAGATATAGCAGGAAAATGTTACATGTGGCGAAATGACACTACAAACATGCTGACCTTGCACAAGGCTGGAAACATGGCAAGTGCATGTAGTTTGGTACGATGGGCAATATGTAAGGGGGTCATGGAGCTGCTGGTGTACGCAAGGCTCATGATAGAAATACTATTAAGTGCTATCCAAGATACCAACAATAATTATTTTCCATCTTTCTCAGCACTCAGCATCATACGCAAGTTGCAGTGACTACAACATTATTGACTTATGAGCGATGCTTGCCTGCATATAAAATTTGTGAGGACAGTGCAATGTGCATCAGTAATAACACAGCCTCACAATTTCATAATTCTTTAGGGAAAACAATTTTGCAAAGACATACAATGTGAGCCTTTACTGAGCATATGCATTAATGAGCTGTATGCACTTGCCCCTGCTGCCAAAATGAATTGCTTAGATAATGACCCACACTGGATTAATTACATACCATAATGCCTCAATAGGTTCAAAATGTTGGCAAGATCATAACAAAGTACCAGCTTGCCTTTGTACACCCCTGCAACATAAATGCTAGTGCCTCTCTTAGGTTACAGGGTTCCTTCATCATGTTCAGACTCAAGCATAAAAAGGAGGCAGGTATCAGCATATAACATATTTTGGAGAGTCAGTAGACATAAAGACTACCAAAACAATGTTCTCACAGAGGTACATATCTCGCACGCACATTCCCCATCACATCAAGATCAATACAAGCCACTTCCACACACCACCAGTGAGCACACACATTTCAAGCCCCTGATTCATCTTCTTTTGTCAAATAGGTGTGATCTCACACCTGCACAGCTCGTGGAACTATAAAATCGCAGGTTTTCTCGCCATTTCCGCACAGATTTTCAGTCATAACGCAATTTCACCGCGACCTCCCTTCGAAACAAAGTCCCAAAAGGGGTTCATAGTAATACAGCGCAAGAGGTTTCTTCCAACAACAAAAACGCCAGCAGGGGAAAAACAAAAGATTTGCCATCGCATCTTGCTTTGTATAACTGTCGGGAGAATGCCCATTTTTTGGTGTTGTCCTTTTTTGCACACAGGGGCGTTCTTTTTTATAACATTGACCTGTAGCCTACAAATACGGGAAAATGACCCGTTCACGAGTGCCGCGCAACCTGAAAGTGCTTACGTTTACGTTTGCGACACGCATCCAGCATCGAAATCTTGCTAACAGCCAATCATCTTCCGCGCATTGCCTCACACGTGCTGCATCATCGCTTTTGCGAATGTACCACCGACCATGCTGTTTTGACCATAAGCAGGAAACAGCCCATAGTATGACCGCAATCGCGTGACGTTTCTATGACGTCATTAGTGCCTAAGCAACTTTGGAATAGGCCCCAAATAAACCTTTTCGCACTTTTGCGGGAGTATAACTCAGAAACCAAATCGTTTTGGGCCTTAAAAAGGATATGACCATAAACTGCATCAAAATATTCTCAAGATGTATATTTCAGTTTAAAACGTCATACAAATGTGGATAATTTCCTTAAATTTTGACCTCGGTGTAAAATAAGGACGAGCAAGGTCAACCTCCAGATTTGTGTCCAAAGTGTCCCCAGACCTCCGCATACAAACGCCTTGACTTAGATACCTGTTCTAAGCAAAACGTCATTGGTTTTAGTTTAAGGTTAGTGACCTTTTGGACCTTTAAAAGGTTAAGGTGATAAAACCGTCAAATATCCGCTATGCAATTGCCTGCAGCTGTGAAATGTTTGGCGTTGCTGTGCGGCGCCGTTCGGAAATTTTTCAGCGAGTCGGTTGGGTGCTTTTATTGCAACTGTGATAAATAGGAACATATGCTCTGCCATTTCTGCTTCATGAGCAAACTTAACATGTTTGAAATGGGGCGTACAAGCCATATTGTGGCTGAAGGATAAACACACGTAAAATGTCACCCAGCAAAACTTTTGCTACTATGCACACGTTTGTACAGTGATACATGATATGGCCAATGGGCCTAAATAACGATACATTCTGCGCTGAGAAGACGACACGAAGCTGGGATAAGTCTTTTCGCCGACATGGGGCAACGGACGTCCTTCCACATTGGGAGGAAAGGGGATACTAGCCGCTCCGATCATTTCTTTCCGGTCAATGCCCACGGGGCCAAAGATAAATTTTCAGAAACTTGTGCGCTTTGGCCTTTGCCTCCATTCCGGGTCCACGTGCCCCCATGTCTCGCGGCGGTACAGCACAAGACAGCGAGGAGTTCTTAAAGCAATTATCATTTGTGAGAACGCCAGTTATAAAGCGTAATATTTCTAACCCAATGTTCATTCCAGAGATGTTGTTACGACCTCATTCCTCCTATCAAAAATTGGTGACGCCGCCCTTGCGCATGACGTCACAATATCCGCCGAATCGAGTCACTCTGCGTGGGTGGATTTGGGGTGCACACACCACGCTCGGCTTTGGGTGCAGTATGAGCTTTAAGGCACCTGAGCACCTCACAAATCATTTGATTCAGATATTTAACGCATTCATCCCACAGATTCTTCCAACTCCGGAAACGTCACCGGCACCGTCTGCCTAACACCCAGTTTGTGACCAAACTGAAATGGTACTAGTAGAGCTGTATGCACCGCATACAAGAATGCTGATTATGCCAAGACCCACGGCCACTTTTCGTCAGATCCGCTGGGAGAAATCATGGGAATCTGCCGATGTCTTTCTCGCACGCCGACCGGCCGCGCTTCGTGATGTTAGACCTGAGGACCGTCTTTGGTCCTTCGTGTGCTGGCGAATGACGTCAGGAATTTGCATGGTCTTCACGCCATGAAACACACACCTACTCAAAAATCCCATGTCGGAGAGATGTCGTGCACGGCGCTGGGAAATACCGTGCAGTCCCGCGCGCGCCGCCGTCGCGTCTGCTAGACTCAGAATC